GCAACACATAGCCAGACACTTGCAACAAATATGACATTATCATAACAGACTCCCTTTTCCCCCCCTAAATACGTAGTCCGCCACGCTCGCCACGTCGAGCAGTGCGGACGTTTATGATATGATGCACTCAAATAAAAAACCTGCCTCGGATAACCGAGAACCCCCCAAAAAAAGTAGACCCACCCAATCAGGAAGGTCCGGTCTGTCCTCGGACAAGACCAAGCAAGCCAGCGGTGCAAAGTCTGTGGCCAAGCCAGGGCTGAGCATACGCTCTGTCCCCTCTGGGACTGCCTCAACGGCATCGAGGCCCCCTTCCGGCAACCGGTCTAGCCATGTCCCTAGACAAGCTAGCGAGGATTTTAATCCGTCCGGTGCTGGTAGCAGACCCACCCTCGCAGATAGGTCTTCGGGAGGCAAGGGCAGCCCTGTCACAAGACAAGCTAGCCCTGCTGCCGTCCCCGCCACTCCAGGAGGCAAGGGAACATCGACAGGTGCAATCCCTAAAGCGGCGTCGGCGACATCAGACCGCATGGCTAAGCCAGCGGCCTCTGAGGTGCGCCATTCTGGCACTAATGTAGCGATGGGCAGTAGCCATCCCCAGAAGCACATTAGTGCATCAGAAAGGTACTATCGTACCAGACGGTCAGCCCTCAGAATCCTGGAGAGACTGAGGGATAAGAAGCCAGAAGAACTGACCGCAGAAGAGCTGGACTCAAGAAATTGGGCCGAAAAGTTTATGGCTGAACACCAGGCGAAAGCCAAACAAGAGTCTGCTCAAGGCAAGCGGAAGTCCTCTAGGGAGCTAAGCTCGGAACCCAAGAGAACAAGGGTATCCGCCTTTTTAACAGCGGACGAGCTGCAGAAAAGATCCTTCGCGGACGCGGCGAAGGACACATTTACCAGGGCTGTGATAGACCGCAGCTCACTTGATGGTGCAATATCACCACAAAACTGGGACCTGGTCAACAGGCGACTCTGGGCCGTCTATAAGGAGGTTCTAGGGGAAAACCCAGGACCACCCCCCAGTTGTGCGGACGCCGGTTGGTTCCAAAACCGCGTCAAATTAACAAGGTGCGCGGACCAGAGATCCGTCGACCTATACACCCTGGCCATCAGTCGCGTAGGCGAGGTCTGGCAGGGTGCACGCCTTGAGGCGATAAAGCGAGAAGACATTCCCAATCGGCCCAGATCCAGGGCCTGGATTCCAGACTTCCACACCGACCCACAGGAAGTGCTGGAATGGATACGTATGGGCAACCCCGAGCTACCCACCCACGACTGGAAGGTAGCAAAGATAGGCGATGTCGATGGCAAGCGAAGGTTAGCGGTAATAGTCCTCAACGAGGAATCAGTAGAACCGCTAGCCAACCAAAACTGGAGGATAAATTATGGCTTCCAAGCCTTGAACCTCCGTGTTTATCGGCAGGACGTGTCAGGGAAACAACACCCTACCGACGAAGCGAGCGCAGTGGAAAGTGCTACTGACGACGAAGTGGCATCCACCTCCGGAATGGTCGGCGAACTCTTCGAGAGGGTGACTCTAGAAGAGGGGGCGGGGGACCACTCCGACTTTTCCGACACCATGGTGGAAGGAAAAGGGGAGGATATCCTCCCCCTTTCTGACGAAGAGGACGTCAACCGGACTGTGGTTGGCTGTCCAGCAGCAGCACGCGAAACTGATGGTGGGGATAGTTCAGATTAATCTCCACCACTGCAAGGCGGCCTCAGCCGCACTTCTCCTCCGTCTCGCCGAAAGAGAAGAGGAGATCGCACTCATCCAGGAGCCTTGGGTCATAAAAGATCGGGTTTGTGGATTGAATATGAAGGGATACAAGCTGTTCTATGTAACTGACAAAGGTAAACCCAGGTCGTGCATATTGATAAAAAAGTGTATTAATGCATTTCTCTTGATACAGTTTAGCGATGCGGACAACGTCATCATAGCAGTGGAATCAGGCGGAATGTCTATTTGGCTGGCTTCCACATATATGGCCCACGACGCAGAAACATTACCTCCACCACAATCCTTAAGGAGCGCGGTAATGGAGGCCTCTAGACGCGGCACTCCGATGGTCATAGGAGCGGACGCGAATGCCCATCATCATATATGGGGCAGCTCAGATACAAATGAACGCGGTGAGTCGATATTCGAATTCATTATGTGCAATAACTTACAGGTTAGCAACGTAGGTGATACCCCTACCTTTGTGACGTCTGTTAGAAGGGAGGTCCTTGACATTACATGTGTCAATGAGCAGGGGGGCAGAACTCTTGAATGACTGGAGAGTCTCAAAAGACAACTCCTTTTCGGATCACATGTACGTCGTTTATAACCTATACGTACCAGTAAGAAAACAACAAGCGGTCTTAAACCGCAGAAAAACAAATTGGAAAAAATTTGAAACAATATTTTCTAATAATATTTCCGGCCTCACAAATCAAATAAACTCGGAACATCAACTTGATAACGTCGTAGACGATATAACTAAAGCATTTCATCGTGCAGCAAAATCAGCCTGCCCAATCAGGGCAACAAGTAGGAAACCAAAACCTCCATGGTGGTCCACTGAAATTGCAACCCTCAGAAGGGAATGCAGATCAAAATTTAATGAAGCTAAGAGATCCAACTCTTGGAGTGAATTTAAAGATTGGCAACGCCGATTTAAGTATGCAATAAGAGACGCTAAGCGCTCCTCATGGAGGAACTTCTGTCAGAAGATAGAAAGTACTTCGGAGGCCAGCAGACTGCGCAAAATACTATCTATGAGTGCCAGCAATATTAGCTATCTCATCAAGGAGGATGGTGATTGGACAACTAGCAGCGAAGAAACTCTAGAGCTTCTTGTACAGACGCACTTTCCGGGTTGCCTCCACAGTAGAGTCACAAATACCCGAATCATAGGCAACCATGATGACATTCCAGCGAATATCATAACCGAGGAGAACATAAAGCATGCTATTAGCAGCTTCCAACCGTTTAAATCTCCGGGACCAGACGGCATTATTCCCGCTGACCTACAGCATACAGCAGGAATGATTGCACCCATACTCGTACCAGTCTTTGAAGCAGTGTTACGAATGAATTATATACCCCACAAATGGGAGGAGGTAAGAGTAGTTTTCATTCCCAAGGCAGGGAAAACTACACACACGAGACCAAAAGACTTCAGACCAATTAGTCTGTCGTCTTTCCTGTTGAAATCTCTAGAGAGAATAATAGATGGGCACATTAGAGACAAGGTGGGCAGCAAACTTTCGGCAGCCCAGCATGCCTACAACAAAGGGAGATCAGTCGAAACAGCACTCCATTCTTTAGTGCACACAATTGAAAGATCACTTTATTACAAAGAATACACCCTCGCGGCCTTCCTGGACATCGAGGGTGCTTTCAACAATGTATCTCCTGCAGCGATTATCTCATCTCTGATAAATCTGGGAGTAAGCAATTCACTAACCTCATTTATTGAACGAATGTTAATCGGCCGAGAAATAAGCGCAGGATTAGGTGAATCAGTTATAAAAAGGTTCCCCGTCAGGGGTACACCCCAGGGGGGAGTAATATCACCGCTCCTGTGGAATATAGCAGTAGACAGCCTTCTTCGGGAACTTGAAGACATTGGCGGTCAGATAATTGCATACGCCGACGATATTGTAATAGCTATCTCGGGTAAACATCTTTCAACATTGACAGATCTGATCCAAAGATCCCTCAACAAACTATCCCTGTGGTGTAACAGGCGAGGACTGGGAGTGAATCCTGAAAAAACAGACCTTGTGCTGTTCACCAGGAAGCACAAGATACCTGATCTCGGGAACATAACCCTAGAGGGCAATACCCTCGCAATAAAGGAAGAGACCAAATATCTAGGTCTCATAGTAGATAGGAAACTAAACTGGGGGCCCAACGTTGCAGATAGAGTGCGCAAAGCAACAGTGGCACTATATTCCTGCAGCAGAGCAATAGGGAAAAAATGGGGGATGGAACCCAAAATAATACACTGGCTATACACGGCGGTGGTTAGGCCAATTCTCTATCACGGTATAGTGGTATGGTGGAACGCCCTTGGGAAAGGGGTAAACTTCAAAAAAATGGACAAGGTTCAAAGGCTTGCGTCCACACTCATAACTGGTGCGATGAGAACAACACCATCCAAGGCACTGTATGCCCTACTGAATTTTCTTCCGGTGGACCTACATGCCAAACAAGTCGCAAGTGGCGCGGCAATTCGAATGAATACTCTAAATAAGTGGTCAAATACCAGTTATGGTCACGGTAGAATATTAACGGAAGTTCCGGGGCTACCCGGATTGGTGGACTATGCACTTCCGGAACCTGCACCCGCTACAGCGTTCGCGACCCTCCTACCCTCAAGGGAAGAGTGGAAGCATGACGCTGTAAGTAGTGGAGAGTCCATCCATGTATACACAGATGGCTCAAAGCTCGAGGGTAGGGTTGGAGGAGGTGTATATTCCCATCACCTGGGAATCTCCCTCAGCTTTCGTCTCCCGGACCACTGTAGCGTTTTTCAGGCTGAACTGATGGCAATCGACAGGGCCACGAAACTGGTAAAGTGTGATATGATACCCCAAGTTGATATCTACATCTTCACTGACAGCCAGGCGGCAATAAAGTCCCTCACGAAGCAGTCGACAACCTCCATGGTAGCCATGAAATGCCGCGCATCTCTTAACGAGATGGCTGAGTCATTTCGCCCAAAGGTAATATGGGTTCCGGGACACTGCGGCATAGAGGGGAATTGTAAGGCCGACGAACTGGCGCGACTTGGCACGAAACTTCCTTTTGAGGATATAAATGACGAAATAGGAATACCCTTGCAAACCTGTAAGCTACTTATCTCCGAGAGGCTCACTAAAGTAGCGAACGAAAGGTGGCAGGACGAAATCACCTGCAAAACTGCCAAACAATTATGGCCGGTGCTCAGCGCCAACCGCACTGGCCTACTACTGAGTCTAAATAAGTCCAATATTAGATTATTAGTATCCGTCATAACAGGACACTGCCTAATTGGCAAGCACGCCGATCGACTCGGCCTACGCTTACATGACTTCTGTAGAAGCTGTCAAGATGAAGAAGAGGAGGAAACGATTCTCCACCTGTTGTGCCAATGCCCTGCTCTATCTAGACGAAGACTCTCCACTCTCGGTAGGCAATTCTTCGACAACTTGGAGGACCTTAGATGCGTCGAAATCAGGGATCTTCTAAAATTCGTTCAAAGTTCAAAATGGTTTTAGGAGGGATCGGGAGTTGCTGACCCAACATGCGGCATCACAATGGGCCCTGAGCCTAAGTGTGTCTTATAGACGACCGCGACAACCTAACCTAACCTAACAGAAATTTACATTTTTCTCTGTTAACTCTTCTTGAAATGTTAATCGCGCTGTGGTGATATTCCATGGAATTATTTTTCAGCCAAACAATTTTACGTTCCAAAAATTTGCACCTTCTCTATCTATCTAAGTTCTCTGG